TGTTTAATATAAGCGACTTTGTCATTGTAGCATTGTTGATGTTGTGTGTGTTTTTCATTACGAGAAATATTGAATCAACCTTAAGAATTAATTTTGTTTCAAGAATAGGAAAGACCTAGACCTAAAGATCAAAATAAGCGCTACAGATGTGAGAATGCGAGATTTGTTGCTGCTGAGGTAGACGCTCTCTTTCTCTGCTGTCTGTAGAAGTTGTTGTTAATTCTTAATTTGGGTACGGCAGAGACATGTTACAGGTTATAATATAATCCAAAAATCATGGCAACAAATTATCTTTAAGTCAGTTTAATCAGTTGAAATGACTTTCACAGTCAATTTGATTCAACTTAACTCATATTTAACCGTTGCTTCTTGTCATTGCTTAGGCTACTTTTTTTTTCAATTAATTTTAATGAATATACAAATTAGTAAAATTAATGTTATTTATTTTTTATTACATATTGTTCATTCATTTATTTTTAACACCGCACCCCCAGCACCCCCATTTTTTTGTGGGCTACACTCCAGGGAGTGCTGCAGTACCCTCAGCACCCCTACTTCCCGCGGTAATGCGTGTAAACCAAGCACTGAGAATTTCATTCTAAACAGTATCAGATCAGGGTTCTTTGGCTTGTAGCAACAGCAGAACCTGTAAATAGAACCATGCTTTGGTGCTATATATGATAAAAAAAATAGTTTATTTTAATATTATTATTAAAATATATTATGTATTAATATTGTCTTTTTACCCTTCTATTTGCTTTGACTTATAATATCTCATAGCCTTTACATGAAAACACTTGACAGCAGGGGCGGATCTACTGGGGTGGCAACTGCCACCCTAAGAAAAAGCTGTGCCACCCCAGAATTATCACAGAATAAAATATAAATGTAAGCAGTATTTCATGTCGAGTTACAGAGTAACGCAAAATAATGGCAAAAACACATCTTTTAAACTGTGCACGATGGTTGCACGCGCACGCAGCGCGCCACTGTGCCAGTATAGTCGGCTTCATTAACAAATGACTCTTATGAACCGGATCTTTTTAAGTCAAAACCACAAAGCGCGGCACTGCTGCAGCCCATGGGCCCCGCCTTGTAGGGGGCCCCGCCTTTGCCCGTTTACGTTTGTTTGATTTGTTCGTTATATGCAGGGGTGGATCTACCGGGGTGGCAACTGCCACCCTAAGAAAAAACTGTGCCACCCCAGAATTATCACAGAATAAAATATAAATGTAAGCAGTATTTCATGTCGAGTTACAGAGTAACGCAAAATAATGGCAAAAACACATCTTTTAAACTGTGCACGATGGTTGCACGCGCACGCAGCGCGCCACTGTGCCAGTATAGTCGGCTTCATTAACAAATGACTCTTATGAACCGGATCTTTTTAAGTCAAAACCACAAAGCGCGGCACTCCCCTTGTCCAAATACCCACACTTGCGGTCTTGGCCACTAATATAATAATTAGATATTACATATAATTTGGTAGAAAAACAGTGTTTTTACGTATTATTGGTGCAAAGATGAGTAGTGGTGATATTTATTTTGTACAACATTTGCAACTGCTTGTTATCACTTAATTAGAAGCACCACAAATTAAAATCGTCATATTACTACTGAACAGACATTTAGAAGTTGATTTTAAAATGTAAAGTATTTAAAATTAAAATAAAGCTATATGTAAACACTTGCATTTTTACAACACTACAAGTGTGTCCCATCAGGTAATGAAAAGTTCGACACACACTTGTGGTCTTCATGCTCACTTGAACACTTGGGCCAAATACAGGAAATACGTCATATAAGTGTTCAAGTGGTCAAGTGCAAAGACCGCAAGTGTGGGTATTTGGACAAGGCTCCAGTTCACTAACAAATAGTTTTTACATTTGTTAGTGAATCAGATAATTACTACTTTTCAGGTAACTCAGAAGTCCTTTGAGAAATCTAATCCCGTCCGGATATGTCTGAGATTCATCGTGTAATTGTTTGGTGATCTGATTCTCCGACCGCTCGTTCCACTTTCATCATGGATATAAGCCGTAACAAAAACATGAAATCAATAAGAAGATGCCGATCACGGAAACTAATAGCAGAGTTAGGTAAGTATCTAGTCTTATTGCAGTTTTCTTGATTGTTAATATAACTGATTTTAGTTGGCACTTTTTTCCCAAACCATTAATTCAGTTTTCAAAACAAAGACACCTTTCTCAAAAAGTTTAACAATGAGTAAGTTAAACATTAGGTAGCAAATAACACACCAATCAGAATCTCTGCATGCTAACAACGGAGAGAGGAGAGAGCTGAGCCAATCATCTAGAGGGGTTTTATACTTACACATACAGTATAAGTACAGTTCAGTACCAGTGCATTAGATAATGGAAATTTCACTATTCTATATGTACAATAAACTGTAGCACATGTTGTACACCTTCAAGCGTGACTGTCAAATTTTATTTGTAACAATTTTTTATGTTTACTGCATTTTTGCAGAACTGAGAAATGACTGCCTAGAGATATAGCTAGTCTTGACAGGAGACCAAGAAACTGCTATAGTACTGTATACTGTAATGAAATTTGGCAGAATGTGCAGAGGATGCTAAATTTACTTTTTTTAATTTTATTTTTTACTGTACTGTATTGTGGTGCATGCCAAGTTCATACAATTCTTTGGTATTTGAATTTTTCTAGTGCTTTTCATCTACTGCAAGAATACTTTACAGTAGTAAAATTAAAATTATTTTCCCCAAAAGTTCATTGCTGAATTATACATCTGTGTCTGTAATTTAATTTATGTATACTGTAATAGACATTGAGCTGCAAAAATAATTCCTGAATCCTAGTAAGAGTTTTTGTTACAGTGTTTACTGGGCAGGAAAGTCATCTGTGTATTTGAATTGTATAAGCATTTACAGTCTTTTTCAACTGCTTACACACAAAATCTTTATTTGTCACACAATTTCTGAAACCTGACACTCAAACACCAGAACCACACACCAATTTTTTTGCAAAACTTTTTGCAAAACACATCACACACTTCTAAAAAAACCTGTAAGAAAAACTGTAATAACTAGATTGAAAAGTTTAAAAGACAAATTTATGCTGGCTTCGGCTTGTCTTAAAATCTAAAAAACGTAAATGGTTTGGTCAGTTAGATGTTCCAGATGTTTGCTAAAGTGTTGCTAGTTGGTTGCTAGGATATTCTGGGTGGTTGCTAGGCTCTTGCTATGCAGTTGCTGGGGCGGTGCTAGAGTATATGTTTGATAGTGTGTTCTGGGTGATTACAGATATTCCCACCTCAGTTCATTACAGAAAATCAAACACTGTTTTCAAAACTGATCCAGTTTCAATGCTTTGATATTATTGTATTTCTTTCTAATGTTAGGAAATTCAAAAGTTTTTGTTGCTCTTAAACTTGCACTAAACAGGATTATACAATCTAAGTAGCCTATGTATTACAGACATTCCCACCTCTGTTAATAACAGAAAATCAAACATTGTTTTCAAAACTGATCCAGTTTCAGTGCTTTGAGATTATTGTATTTCTTTCTAATGTCAGAAAATTCAAAAGTTTTTGTTGCTCTTAAACTTGCACTAAACGTGATTATACCATCTAAGTAGCCTATATGTAATTTTAATAGAACCACATGTCTTCTTTAGTGATACAAGCTCAGAAACATTTATAACCTGTTGAAGTTTTTTATGTTGTGTATTGACTTGGTGCCATGATGGATATTGAAATGTTGTTATTTCGTTTTCATTTTAAACAGTATAGATGATTACTTAATGTTAATACAATATTTGTGAACACAACTGTAAATGTCAGACCATAAATCCCCAAAAACTATGCATGGGGGCTTGCTTTGGTGTTGCCACCCCTCATAGACCCCATGCCACCCCTTTGCCACCCTAAAAATTATTTTCTAGATCCGCCCCTGCTTGACAACATGTTGTGTAGTAAGTACTTTAATTTTTTTATTGACTTGAAATTGTAACAAAAATTACAGTGCTCTAACAACAGTTCTTAGCTGAAAACAATAATAAATGATAATTGACACTGAACTTGAATAAATACATTCAAGT